TGTAAAAGGAATAAAATACTCCTATTTTACTTTTAATTACAAATTCATGAAAATGGGTTGCTATAAAATAAGTGAAGATAGGGTGAGGGTGACAAGCGTATGGAAAGGGTTGAGAGGGTTAATAAAAGGGTGAAGGATAAGGTATTTGTCATAGTTAAAACATCAACAGGGGTGCTGGTAACAATTTCCATAATTGATAACAAGAAAAGATATACAGAAAAGAAGCCAACTTTAATCTTTGTTTCAAACATGTTTTCTTTTCATCCTTAAAATTACAAGTTTAGTACTCGGGAATTAAATTTAGTCCATTTCTTCTAATTTAGTTTTCAAAAACCAAATCGACTGCACAACTTTGCATCGTTTTTCCATATTCTTCTTAATTGTATACCTTCTCTCGTAATCAAGAGATAAACTTCTGTATATGGTGCAGTATTGATTGTGGAATTAAGGATTAACAAAAATATATTTTTCGACATAAAAAATATTTTTTTTGTTCAAAGGGAGGACCAAGAATTGTAAAGTAAGGAATAGAGGGTTCTACTCCTCTAGAGAGGGGTTGACAGGGCAGTCTTGCGCGGTCGTTATAGACAAGGAAAGGGCTGTGAAGCAATGATAGGATGGTGAAGATCCAGGGGAGCTGCAGGGGTGGAAGGATTTATGGAGCAAGGATTGGGTGGTGGTGATGAACAACAAATAGTTGGACCGCAATAGTTTGTAAAAAGATTAGGGAATAGCACAAGATCATGAGAGTCTTGGTTTTTACAAGCAACATGATTGTGATTCGATTTTTTACCCATAAAATTTTTATCCGCATAATGTGCACTTGCGGTTATCTAGTCAAACTTCAATAATAGGAATAAAACTGTAATTTTGGACCGCAATTGTATGTTCTTAAAACGAGAGAGTTAGTAAAGTACAAAATAGAAATATGAAGTACTGTTTCTGCAATTTTTTCCCACATAGGACCATAAGGTTGGTTAATTTGAATTGAAAAAGAATGAGATTATCAGAAACCTTGTTTTATCTTGTTTTATTGAAAAGGTATCCAAACAACTGATTATCAGAAACTGCATTAAACGAAATTCCAAAGATAATTTTAATACCCAAAGATCATCGTGATGCACGTTTTGCAACTGATCCCAAGGCAATGGTGACTTTCAGATAATGGGCTCTGGCCGGCCCCTCAGCCTATGGGGCTAAAAAGTGGCTTTATTTGCTTAGTCTTATGCAAAAGGCAGGAGTCTCTGGGGCTGCTCCAAGAGTTGCCGGCTTTTGGAGTATGCTCTGGGGATTAGGTTTGTTTAGTCAGTAAAAGTCAATTGACTTCTTGACAAAAAAAAAAAAATATGCAAAAGGCAGGGGAAAAGCCTTCCTCCCATTCTTTTTCCTCCCAACAGTTACCCATTGACGACGACTTAAATTAGCATTTCTTCCAAGTCACACCATCAGCCAAATGGAAGCCAACTCGCATCAACAGATAGGAGCTCCTAGAATCACAGTTCTAATTGGAAGGTACAATTAATGGAGGGGATTATATTTGATTTAAAATTGGATGAATTATGAGATTTGATACAAAATACAAATTTTTAAAAAGTGGCAAAATCTATTAGTATATTTTTACATGTTACTGTATTAATGCCTGCATTAATTTTAGGGATAATTGCAGAAACCTCCCCTGAGTTTTATGGTAATAGCATTGACCTCCCCTATGAAGTTTAAAATAGCAATCACCTCCCTAAAAAAAGACTGACACAATTTAATACATTCTTCATTGTCAATTTACTAAAATACCCTCACTAAAATTTAATTTTACCAAAGAATGTGATGACTTAAACCTAGTAAAACGTTTGTCATTTTGATAATTGTAGTTTACACTAAATTAACTATTTATGCATAGTTTAACTAAATAACTAAATAACTAATAATCTAATTAATTAATTAACTAATTATCTGTTGACATAAATAACTAATTAACTTTAGATGCTTAACTAATTATCTAATACACTAAATTTTTTTTTTAAAGTAATTTGTTAAATAGCCTGCCTGAAACCCGCTTGCGGGTTTCCCCTTTATGTAAAATGACTAAAAGCTGCGTTTCTGTTCTATTTATATCAAACACATACTCTCAAACCCTCACCTGAAATAGCCTGCCTGAAACCCGCTTGCGGGTTTCCCCTTTATGTAAAATGACTAAAAGCTGCGTTTCTGTTCTATTTATATCAAACACATACTCTCAAACCCTCACCTGAAGGGTGAGGATGAGAGGGGAGGTTTTGCTGGGCATCCTAGGGCCCTCCGATGGGCATGTGCAACTCAACGCAGCTTGCATGTAAAAAAAATTTTTTTTTTTTAAGTAATTTGTTAAATAGCCTGAAACCCGCTTGCGGGGTTCCCTCTTTTTTTTTTTTTAAAAATAAATTCTATGCTAAAATGACTTAAAACAAAAATAAAAGACTAAAAGTAAATAAAAACTAGCATGAAAAATAAAAATAACAGTAAATAAAAATACACTAAAAATTTGGTGTCTACAGTAGTTAATGAATAATCTGGAAACAGATTGAATGAAGACTCAGAAGAAACGGAAGCTGGTCTCTTATTATTAAAGAGTGAAGGCTAAAATAGGCATATCAGGTGAAAGTTTGTGGTGGAAATCTGTTTTTCGCATATGCACGCGCCTTTGCAGTTCGTTTAAGACACACGCCGAATATTTGACGATTTCCGTCCACTTTTCAGGTTAATTCAAACCACGGGGTATCGACTGGTATGATATGAAACCACAAGGGGTTTTTATGTATGATTGCCTAACCACAGGGGGCTTTTTTGTTGTTTACCCAAAAAAGTATAATTTGTTGGGGTTGTTTTCAGACTCAGAAATCTTCAATGTCGCCTTTCTATTGCACCAGCAATATTTGTTTTGTATTGTGAAGGATGTAGGAGAGTTCCATGATGTTCTCCTGTGGCTGGAAGAAGCCATTTTCTGATTTCTGCAATATGACTTGAAACTGCCAAACTGAGTATCAAGCAAGCTGTGTTTTGAGTTGGAAAATTGCTGCTGCATACATGAGTCCAGATTCTGGTATTCATTTTGCTACTGACCATCGTTTATAAGCTAGTGCCTTAGTTACATCAATTAGCCGTTAAGTAGCCGTTGGTTTCTCAGCAAATGAAGTTGTTGCAGGTCATCATCTGGAAGCATGTTGTTGCATTTATACCCCATGAACTTCCTTGTGCTTAATGAAAAAGCCCCTCCCTTGTTAATACTACTTGTCAACCAACATCAGGGCAAATTTGGAACAAATTTTTTATCTCACTTGTACAGCTAATTTTTTAATGGGAATTGAAGCTGCCTGGACTGATTTTGCAACTTAATGTTCCTGTTGAGGGGTGCTATCTGCCATTTCAGAACTTAGAGGGGAGCTCAGTGCAACTGTCAGTAGTTTCAGGGGAGGTTTCTGCAATTTTCCCTTAATTTTATGTATGAATCACTGAACCGTACAATTGGGATTGGTGATTGAACCATTTCTTGATGATCAGTTAGATGTTGTTATCAAAATTGATAATTAATCTCATATATACACTAGAAGACCTTTGGGTGATTAGGTTGATATACAAAAAAGTAATATTGTTTATCACTCAGTTTCATTAAGAGGGAAGTATTTATGACGGGACTTCCTCCATCTAAACAAACCAAAAGGTAGTAAATTTAGCTTTGGTTTGCCTTACTCGACTAACATGAGCCTCAAAACGAATCATGTAGGAGCATCATCTCTTGCAGTAATACTGCAACCATTTCAGCAGGGTACAGCTAAAGAAGTTTCCCTTTCATGTGGAGAAAATTCTGATCCCTGATCAAGCAACTTTATGATCTTGCACATCCAGTTGATGAATGAGAATTGGTCGCGCGACCATGCATAATAATATCAATGCAATCATTTTTTTTTTGATCAATTCTTTCAAGTATGTCCATTTCAAGATTTTATAATATGACATCGACTTCAGTTATGCATCAAAAAACACAAAATGTTGTCGTCATTTCACACTTTTAATCTCTTTACTTTTGCATCACCAATGAGCTTGGTTATGCATGCAAATACAGTAAGTCCACTTGAATAAATAAGCCTGTTTATGGATATTCCTGATCATGCACATCCACTTTGATGGTAATAAGATTAAGACCATGTGAACAAGGCAATCATCTTTTTTTTTTTTTTTTTTTTTTTGAGAGATCAAATATTCCTGCATCCACACACATACCTTATGTTCTATTCCTCTCAAGTAGGTCCATTCCTGCATCCACACGTATATGTACTCTTTCTCATTAAAGCAATGAAAATCTCCTATCATTTCGAAAAAAAAAAAAAAAGTCCATTCCGGTAAAGCATCTCTGAATTATATATCCTGTTATCTTTAGACTTGACCAAGATTCTATAGTACGACATTGATGGCCATAACTATACATCATTATGATTATCATTACTCATTAATCACTCCCCTTACGTCACCTTTGTTACGTAATTCAATATGTGGTGGCATGGTCCAGCCTAGGAATTTTTCGTCTATTGTGGTGGGTGATCATGCAAGTTCATGTACCATCCTCATTCTTAAAACTCTTGCTTTATTTATTTATCTATTGTTTTGCTTTAAGAAAGCGACAAGATAGGTTTACTATTTTTCCAAATTGACTAATTAAGAATTCAGACTTTAATTTAGAGAACCAACGAACAATGCGTTTCCATTCCTATTTAACCCTGTAAATTTGTCTAGCTAGGTCCCTTTCAGCTATAGCTTTTGGAATTAACCAGCATTATTGGCATCCTAAAGTAAAGCTACTTTAATTCCCTGATTAGTTTTCCTGTAACTAAAGCTGTCTCTCCAACATGAAAGGCAACTGTACCTGAGGTGCCCACAAATTATTGTTTAATTTAATAATTCATTCCCAGATTAGCTTTTCTATATTATGAATTCATGCAATGCAAGCAAGCAAGCATTCACATGCAAGACTTAGTGGAACACTTCAGAGCTAAGCTTCAAAGCAAGGTGCAAGTTCTTGAGAGGAATACAAAAAAAAAAAAAAAAATAGTGATAGAGAAAAACATGCTCAAGGTTTTAGCTTATTTCTTGCTGTTTTTGGCACTGAACGGTCAAACAAGTTTGGGACAAGTGATGACTGGTGCTCCTGCAGCTGCTCCCTCCCCTCAGCCTCCGTTTTTGCCACCTCCACCAAAGCCACCAAAGCCAATGCTTCCCGAAGAAGAGGGTACGTAAAAAGCATACATGCACCAAATTGCTTGTTTTTATGTATATTTGTACTTTTCACAAATATTTTCGAGAAGCGAGGAGCAGGGAAGAGAGAAAAGGCAGGAAAGAAAAATGGACTCAATCGAATCCAAAGTTTAAACTTTTATTAATTGAAGAAAAATTTATAATGTAGAAATAACTAAGGGATTTCCTTAAAAAGGAAACACTAAAATAGTGGAACAAATAAAAATAGAAAGACCAATAGCCTTTTCGGTTGTTAATGTAAGAAACAAAAAGGGCATTCTTTGAAAAAGAAGAACAACGAAAGGGAGTTCTTTTTCCTGATTTTTATTTCTCATTGTTCTTCCTTTTAGATAAACTTTAGGAAACTATTATCTATCACTTTCTTTATCATATTTTTTATCTCTCTGAAACTAAACTTGAATTTAGTTTCTTTTTGATGTGTGTGTCACATATACATGATTTGCATTCAAATTTTAACTCATGTTATATAGTATGATCTAAACCTATTAGCGTAAAAGACAAAATTATATAGTGATAGTGTATAAAAAGAAGTTATCCTAACACTGTAATATTTACCATGTAATTAAATAGTTATCCTGCTTCTCACGCACACATGCACCCAAAAATAAAAAAAAAACAAAAACCACCCGAGCAAGTGACGGTGTCTAACATCCACAGGTGAAAATGTTTCTATATGCTTTGAAGGAATTATCATTTGTTTCTGTTGTTAGTATGAAGGTACTGTCATTTGTTATATTGGAGACTTAAACTAGTGGTCTTGTTCTTTTGTGGATTCGGTTTGTTTCTTGGCTTGGAGAATCAAATTAGTGAAGAATGGTTTTTGTTCCTTATCTTGTGGAGACGACAATGAAAAGACTGGTCTGAGATGTAAAAAGTGGGCAAGTATTTCTTGTTTTACTATGAGAAACATTTGTTGTAAGTTTAGCTGCATTAATTGGCATTGACACCTGAATTCTCTGAGATAATTGAGAATGAAGGGTATAAATTGATTGGCAACATTTCTTGATATCAGATTTGATGAAATTAAATTGACGTGATTTTTTTATCCAACCCATTGCTATCTTCTGAACTCTCTTAATTCACTTGAGAACTTTATATGTCCATGCTAGTGTCTTATATACAATTTCTTTTCAGTGGAAGCTGTCAAGAGTCTGCTTCGACTTATGAGTCCATACTCGCCTTTGGGGCCTGCCTACTTCTCGGCCTTGAGTTGTCATTTTATAAAGTTTAGTCCTGTGCTTACATGCAATTGCATGTTGGAGGACAAAACTTGCAGAGTGGTTCTGATGTACGTTTTCGCCAACTGCACATGTTTTAGTTTTTTTTCATGTAATTATTGGCATTTTGTTACTCTAAGTTAAGCGGCTTATCCTTAGAATACACTTGTAAGTTGAACTAAAAGGTCAAATGACTTTTAAAATTTTATTCACTGCAAAAGACAACTGATATGCCTTGAGTGGATATGTAAGAACCGAGCTGCTGTATATAGCCTGAGAATGATGCACTCAAATAGGAGAACAGGCTATTTCAATTAATATTGATATGCTATCATTGCTTTTAGACTCTTGGATTTTGGGGATTTCTTTATCAAGGGGATTTCGTTTGCATTATACCAACATTTTGGATTTCAGTGATCTCTCAGGTCAGGATATAACCGGTTCTATACCACCAGAAATTGGAAACCTATCTCATTTGGAATCACTGTAAGCAAGTGCAGAACATTTTTTCAGCTTTCTTTGTCATTTAATCATGTTGATTGAGCTGGCTATTACGGCCAAAGGGGGAAATCTGTTACCGGACGACTGATAATGATCACTATTTTCATACTCTAGATGTAATGTTCAATGAATCTTTATTTGCTAGTACTCATGTTCTCGATCTGTGTTATGTATCTATTTTTCAGCCATTAAGATTTCCATTATAGGCAAATCGTTAGTCTGAATATAGCATAACAATCAATTATCTGTCTAATAACAACACTTTCTTTGAAAATTACCAGAATACAGTGAACTGTAAAACGATTCACATACCATAGCCGTTGCGCTCTGGAGAGTAACTTCGTGGTGTCCTCCATCCTATATAGTTTCAACTACATTCCTCTGACAAGTTTTCAAAAGCTTGCACAAAAATACATGTAATATAGGTGTGTGCATAGTATGTTTATTTATTTATACTTATCCTATTGACATATGTTTCAATGCCTTTTCAAAAGTAACTTTCTAATCCAGGGTAGTAACTTTTCCAGTAAGGGAAACAAACAGATGGAATCTAGGAGTCCTAGTGATATCCTGTTCACCTTAACATGTAAATCCTACCAAGGAGTACATGCTCTGACTTTTCTTGCCTTCAAATTAGCCGAAAAGTGAAATTCCATTATCCAGGTTCCAAACGTATTTCTCCAAGTGCTTGTCTTGGTGAGAGACAGGTGTTCTTGCTTTTGCAGCAATTGGATCTTAGTGGATTTTTCGGATCTCAGATTCGTTTGGATAGAGGAAAAATACAGATTCAGCAGAGCAGGAGGGAGACGTAAAATTTTTGATATAACTGCCAATTAAGAATAGGTGGTGGTGTCAGCATCAAAGAGATCAGTTGTTCTTATGAGCTGCGTCTTATGAGCTGCGTAAGAGTAAATAACGACTTCTGTCTGGGCAGAGTAAAAGAAGGGTGTTTAGAGAAAGAAAGTAAAGTGGTGGTAATGTATCTTCTATGATGTAGGGTGGGGAAGGATTTGATCCAAACAAAATTCTTCTGAAGTTTGTGGTTCCAAGAGCGTAGCTTTTGAAACATTGGTTTTGACTATGAAACACCAAGTCTCTTTTTGTTCAATTGGCTTTGAAGTTACTTCACCGACTAGCAACTCTAGCTGTGGCTGGAACACTTGGCTAATTACTCGGTTGATAGAAAATAATTTTCCTATTCATTTAAAATTCGGACTTTAAATACTACCTTGTCTGTGTTTTGGAATTGCAAATGCTACACTTCGGTATCCTTTGGAAAGCTATATATATTTTCAGTACTAGTAAATGAATTATGCGGTGGTTAGGTATAAAAACTAGTGGACTAACTATCTTAATTATCAGTCACACGAGTCCTGTAGACAATAGATTCACAGACTGTCTATTGCACCCTCCGGAAGTGTTATGGCTCCTTTGTGAACAATCATATACATCATGTTAACAATGTTAATTCCCAACTCTTTGAATATCAAATTAGGCATGTCTAGATATGTACAGAACACAATTCATCTAATTTTTTTCTTAGACTTTTCTTCTCTGAATACCTAGCCTGAACTAAATCGAACCTAGCAAGCCCTTTCCTCTGCTGAATTTTAGTAGATGACTGTTGAGGATATGATGTGAAGGTAGGCATGTTGTGTGTTGAAAATTGGCGACATTTTTAGGGTTACATTTATTTTTTTGCACAATAATATAGATAGATGTAGCTGCCCTACAGTTGAGTAGGCTTCATCATCTTTCTCCAGCAGTCTTATTCCTTCTTTCCTTCTTTTTCTCTCATTTTTTATTTTCCCAAACTTTGTAGAGTTAAGCTTTAAATTGCAGGTCAATATATGCTCTGGACACTCAAATGCTCAAGCCATGTATGGAACTTGGAAATCCTTTATAAGAATCAACAAGAAAAACTTTAACTGACATATTTTTTAGTTCAGTTACACATTATGACATTGTCCCGTTATGATAAAATGTACAATAAAAACCTTGAGCAAAATACCATGATGGTCAAGTCATTACAGTATATGTTCAGCTTCAGGATTTTTCTATAAGAATCAACAGGAGAGCTTTTAACAAGCAGACTTTTTAGTTCAGTTAAACATTATGACATTCTCCCATTATGATAAAATCTACAGAAACCTTGAGAAAAATACCATGATGGTCGAGTTTTATTGATCTCTAGATGTATAATATCTTTTTTTTTTGTCTTTCTCTTATGTTTTAATTTTTGTTATCTTCTATTGTTCCTAAATCTGGGCTCTTCTCACTGTCATTCTTCTCATGTTATTGGTTTCATTGGAATGGATCTATTTATAGAAAGCAGCTTGATTGGAATTTGAAAGATGTATACAGAGTGATTTTGTCAAATGTTCCTATGGCAGTGAAATGCATTTGTTATTTTGGCATTTCCAGATACTTGAGGTCAAATAGTCTTAATGGGTCAATTCCCAACTCTTTTGTGAAGTTGTCTCAGCTTTCGGAACTGTAAGTAACTATATGAATTTCATTTCTGTTTAAACTACTCTGTTTGGAATTCTTTGATTGTCAAAATTACAGAACAGTTAGTTAATTTTAACTGTCTCTAAATTGCCAAAAAGTAACGAGACAGCAAAAGTAATCTGTACAATGTTCCCTCACATTGCCACTGAAATGTTGGAAAATTCTAATGGGCTGTTTTGGTGGACAGCAACTTATGTGATAACAAGTTGGGAGGACCGCTGCCGAAGTTCCTTCCTGAACTGAAGTCATTACGAAGCTTGTAAGTCTGCAGATCACTGTGTACTGTATATTGTTATCTGATCATGTGACTTGTTGGTAAGATTTTGTAGTTTTGCATAAAGAAAGAAGGAACAGCATCAATGATGATGGAAATAAGTAACACTTGGCATGATTATTCTTTTAATGGGAAAATAGCAAAAAATTGCATACTCGTTCCTGTATTAATCCTTTTTTTAATTTCTATTAGTTTTCAAGAAGGTGCAGACAAGCTAAGGGGCATACCTCTTAATCAAGTAGATGATAATTAACTTCTGGTAGCTAATAATGAGGAGAATGCATTTTGAATAATAATAATAATAATATACAACAACTCTCTTCAATCAAGCTGATAAGTTAATAGACTAAATGGAATGTCAACATCGATCTAATCACAAACATATATTTTGGATTATTTCCAAAATATCAAGATTTGTTTACTATCAAATGTTAAGACTAGTTTCTGGAAATGAATATGCTATCGTTTGGAAAAAAAAAAATTGTTAAGACTAGTGAAGAGTTTACTATCAAGATTTGTTTCCAAATGTAACTATTTTTGGTTAACAACAATATAAATTAGAATAAGCACCACCTAGTGATGCTACTTAGCATATCCAAGTATCAAAAAAAAAAATTTTTTGGCCATTTGTTTCGTTTGGGAATGTTTAGCATATATTGATTGTAAATTTGTGCATCTTAATATATTATTGAAAATGATCTATGTAATTTCTGGTGCATTCACAGATATTTGTGCAATAATTTGTTTAGTGAATCAATTCCACCGGAAATCGGAGGTTGTCCAAAGCTTGAATACCTGTAAGTATCTTGTTCTTTGTTTGAAATCTGGGTCACTTGGGCAATTGGACTGATTCTGGGTGCTGATCTAGATTGGCTTCCATCTATTTTTTCCCACAAGAGTTTAAGAATAGATCAATCTACTTAATTTGGCGCAGTTTAAGCTGACTGATTTTTTGGTCCTGGATCTGATTAATACGAAAAAAAAAGTGCATAAATAAACAATGTATGCATGATCATTATAATTGATTAAGAACTTGCACATTTCTTTACAAAAAAAAATTTCCTAGGACCCAAACAAGTGTTGGAATTTGTGTTCTTGCTTCACCTGTCATCTAATTTGTGCAATTTTTATTTTTAAATTCTTTTTTTTTTTTCCATGCAGGTCTTTATCTAATAATTCTTTGTCGGGGAAATTGCCAGATGAGTTGGGGCATGTTTCAACACTTCGAGGACTGTAAGGCATCCGTTTAGATTTTCTTGTTGTCATATATGCTTTATTTTGTTGGTTTATTCTGAGTGTCTTATGGAGTTGTAGGTATTTGGCTGAAAATCAATTTGGGGGTCGGCTTCCTGAATCACTGGGAAGCCTAGCTCGTCTTGAAGAGATGTAAGATCCTAAATGATTTTATTTTACTAATTACACTATTTATTTTAGCATGTCGATGAAAAGTAACCGATTGAAGGAAGTGAAACTCAACGAGAACAGTTAGATTTGGATTAAGGGAGTTGACAAGAACAGGATAAATTCAACATACTGTTGCTACTCATCAAGAAAGAGAAAAATTAATCTCTCAGCTTAGCAGGAAAAGCTAAAAGCAGTTAATAAATGGACTTGATAAACTTAATTTACTACAAAATAGACTTAATTTATCTTTTTGTCTATTTCTTGTATTTAGGAAGACCAGATGCACTAGTTCATTTTAGGTTTAATATCCCTTCAATTTCTTGCATTCTTGAAATTTCATCCCTTATTCGCTCCTGTAGATCCTAGAGTTTGGAAGGGATTGAAGTGTGAAGGAAAAGAATTTACCGTAAATTTCAAGAGCAAAGTACAAAATGGAAAATAAAAAAATTCATGGAAACTAAGGCTCTAACTTTTGCCTTGGCATCATCAATGGTGCTTAATTCCATCTTTTTATTTTATTTTTGGATATTGTATTTACAACTGCTAGCTGCTCTAGACATTTTTCTTTCTTCCGAGTAAGAGGCATTCATATCTGACCTCCAGAGTTGAAGTGAAAGCATCTTAAACAATAAATAGAGCTTGGACGAGTACAAAACATAGAAAGGGGGGAAGAGGACGGAAATGCATATCTGAAGAGCATAATGGCGATAGGTTTCTTGAGAAACGAAATGTAAATCCCAAAGGGGGTTTTGCCATTTTCTAGAGTCTATACCATTGATCACAGTACAATAAGTGTTAAGAAACCATGGAGATGATGAGTTTTTCAAGGTCAGTAACAGGAGGAGAATAGAATCCTATGAGGAAAAGCTGTATATTGTACACAACTATTTTCATTTGCTGAAATTCTACTTTGAACTATTATCAGTTTTACACATTTAATACCTTTTAGTAACATAATAGTAAATTGTGGATTTCAATTAGAAAAAGTTTTTTGACAAGTAAACAATTTTGCTGCTGCTTTTAGGCTAAAAAATAACTTGTTTGTTGAATGATACTAGTTTGAGAACATGTGCATGAAATGTGTGGTGTTATCTTTAAAATTATTTTCACAAATTATTTTCACCTATGATCTCCAGGCAGTAAACTGTCTACTAGGATTTTCAGATATCCATGAAATGCATAATGGTGCTCTTCAAACACACTTCATCATCTACCATAGGGCACAATAGTTGAGATGAACTTGAATTACAATGACTAAGTTTCATGTTCATCTTTTTCGCATTTTTCTTGCTAGCTAATGTGGGAAGGCAACCCTTCCGCTTGTGGCTGGGACATCAGGTTTGCCACATCCAGTGCAGTTGGATTTATGGTTTGATTAAATGTACCCTTTTGTGACATATTGACCAATAAAGGGCAATGTCATCCATACTGAGGGCAATGAGCACTAACATGTTTTACAAATCAGAATTTTTGATTTATAATCATAGGCCACAATAGATGTATGCCCAATGAGTATTAAAAGGTTTTACAAATCAACCCTTCTGGTGATTTGTATGATTTAAGAGTGATAATGGAAATAGGAGGACTACCATCACTATATGTTATGTATCTGATATGATAATCTCATGAGGTAGTTAATGCTTGAGATTGCTGAAGGCATGTCAGGAGGAGAAACTACTTTGTCTAGAATGACAAATTAGATGTATGTCCAAATATTTATGAAAACAAGTAACATCTATTTTTAGCTTATCTTGTGTTAACTCATTCACAAGAAACCGGACTCTTGAATTTAGACAAATCTCCAGTTAAGCAGTACTAAGATCTCTTAACATGTATATGTACCTTGCACACCTCAGATTGGAATTTTCAGAAAGAATAAAAATGAATAGGGTATTTATGTGAGCGAGAGTGGAACGAGTGTTGATTTTTGTAACTTTGGAAAAAATCAACCAAGCCATTTCATTGTTTTGCCTTAGAGTCCAAGCCACCAGAGTTAACATGGAATCTTGGGGGTACAGTACACATGAAAATGGTCTAGATAAAACATATTCTCAGAGATGAAATATGACAGCCTGAAGATTCTATATTAGATATGTGGACGCCAAAGAAAAATTCAACTACAACTTAAGATCTTGAATTTACTTCTTTTTGTTTGGATATTAAATGACATATATTTCAGGTATGTGATGAACAATCTTTTTGATGATCAGTTGCCTCAAAGCTTTCAGAAGTTGACAAAGTTGAAGGCTTTGTAAGTGAAATTCCATGTTATATGATAGTCCCATCTTTCACTTAATGCAAGAAAAGCACACTTCTGTACAAGAGGCTCATCTTGGCCATTGTCTCTCTCTGTAGCAATATTCGAGGAAATGCTATCAGCAAGAGCATCCCCCCATATATTTTCGAGTGGTACAAACTTGAAAGATTGTAAGCTTAAGTGAACTCCATGAACTAAATTTTTTGGCCTACAATTGAGTTATTTATTTATTGAAATTCAAAATTGACTTTTTTTTTTTTGGACAGGGTACTGATGGGAAACAATTTTGAAGGGCATTTACCAAATAAAATCTTAGGATTGCCAAAGCTGACTTACCTGTAAGTATTTAGACCCATTAAACGTACTCATTCTTGATACCTTTTATTGGACATTGTAAGAAGACTACGATGTTTGTTTTCTAAATTTATTTATGTATAGGTCCATAAACAACTTACCTGGAGGAAAGACAGGTGTTTTGTTTCCCGATATTCACATTATGGTGTCTCTGTCATTCTTGTAAGTTTTGAAATGTCAATTAGTATTGGTTTATGTAATTCATTTCTTACAGATTTTCATTCATTTGTTCAGGACATTGAGGAATTGTTCACTCACTGGTCCAATTCCTGATTATATCTGGCGGTTCACAAACCTGTTTTACCTGTAAGTAATCTTGCTTTCTGTTTTCATGCCCGATGCTATGTGTGTGTGCATGTGTGCGCATGTGATGCCATGCTTGCACAGGCAGGTGTCTGCGTGTAGATGGCTTTTTTTTTTTTTAAATTTTATTATTATTTTTTGGCATCCTAAGATGCAGGGAATTCTGCAGATTTTAGAAGTCTAGTTGGCTCCACTTATATACATATGCCCTACTGTCTTACTTAGTTTATTTTTATAATTCGCCCTTGGAAACGGACTTTAAATGGAAAACTTCTTGCATGCTATAGAGCTTTCAAAAAAATCTTTATGTGGAAAGTGTTTTGATTGGATTGAATTACTGATATGATGAACTTACCAGTCACAAGAAATACTGTTGATCATGGACAACATTTTTTTTTCCCTTCAATTCGTTTTGAATTTTTTACGCTTGATAAAGAAAAGTGGTGCTAGGATTAAAATTTAAAAGCTACACTCAAGTTTTGCTTAATTTTATCATCAAATACTACTTTCTAATCTGCCTTTTGTTTTCCAGTAAGCCCTTCTGTAGGTGTGCTGGTTTTGATAAAAGATATTTATATTCTCATATTGGATTTTATCATGATAGGGACTTGAGTTTCAATAATTTGACGGGGATAATTCCACCAGACTTGAACCAGTTCCAGCAACAGTTCGTGTAAGAGATTTCTTGTCATCTTTCCCTCCCCACCTTAATCCTTCTTATGTCCATCTATTCTAATAGAGGCACAACTATAATGTTATATTTTTTCCATGCCTTTAACTCATTTTGCTCTACCTCTTACAGTTCTTTGTTCATTTCCATGGATAATCCATTGGATCACATCTTTCCATGGATAATCCATTGGATCACATCAGATGTGATCCAATGGAAAACAACTTTAGTTACATTGTCTACCCGTCTACCTACTCAGATGTTCCATTTACTCCCCACATTTTAATCTTTCTACTGAATTTGCAGCATGGTGCATGACTATTTGTAAACCCAAAAGCTCATCTATAGGAGGTGGAATACAGTAATTGACTCTGTTTGCCCTTTAGCTGGAAGGAAAAAAAAAATACTTGAGTTACGAACCCAATATTCTTCTCTGGTTCTCAATGTCAAATTAATGCCATAGCACGTGGAGTTGATAGATTATCCAGGCGGTGTGAAGAATTGTTTGAAGGCCACCTCATCCATGTATCACCTGAAAACATCTTACAGTTCGTGTCTATTGTTTAATTGCCATTTTCTAATTGTTTTATATGTTAATTGTCATTTGGCCCCAAATTGGGTTGGTTTTTCATTAGAGACAAGACTGAATTCGTGTCTTTCTTGCTTTGCACTTGCCTTGGCACATAGGTAACTGTACTTCTTGTTTTGGTATATCTAGACATAATTTGACTATGCATTCGTTGAATTTCAGACTTGTTTTGAATGATAGCTTGCACTACTTATCACCTTACTCCTCTTATTCACGAGTACAGGTTTCCTTGGCTATCATAGTAAGTTTTGAGAACTTTTTGGCATTTGGCTGTGTTTTCCAGCTTTCTTAGAAGTAACAACCTCAGTGGGACAGTACCTGGATGGCTGACGAGTTTGAGTAACTCTAACTCATATGTGTAAGTGTTCATTTGATGAATTCAGATTTTTCAACTCATTAAACATTAAGAGGATGGCATTCATTTGAGGGAGGTGTTATACAAACCGAAATTTCTTTTAAGTTCAAATGCAGTCATAAGGGTTGTTTTCACATTAGCAACTTGCGTGAAGAAGATTAATGCTAGCTGTCTTTTTGGTTGACATGTTTACAAATTAGAACAAATCATTTTTGCCTTATTTCTTCCTTTGTTAATCATTTTTCTGTTATCTTTGATCACTTGCAAACATTAGAATGCCTTAATGAAGCTAAAGTAAAAAAAAATTCACTGTAGATTTACATATTGATTTTGAATTGCTTTCCTGAGTGCCGTATTCAGGAACCTAGAATTTTTAAAACACTTATTTTCGAATGGATAAGTGTGTGTTGAAGCACAATACTGTTTAAGAAGATATAATGCTTGGGCTTCCCTCCCCACTCCTGGGCAACAACATAACATATCAGCGTCAACCAGTCGAGCGAAACTGAATCCAGATTAAATGTTCAATGTTCCTTTTTCCCATTGCCCCAACTCCCTTTAGTTTTCTCGCACTGACTCCTGATTAGTTATAAGATGCAACAGTTTCAGCAGTAAAGAGATCATCAAGTTGTTCATGACTGCATAACTCATGTTATACTATTGCTTATTCCTTTTCCACAGAATTCACTGATTTACTTTCAAATGTGATTTTGTTTCAACAATGTATATTCCTTACAATTAAAATGAATGTTGATTGCTTTCAGTTTCCATATATAATTGTCCAATTTATACTTAGTTGTAACAGTTTCATTCGACATTTTGCAGGGATGTTTCTGAAAATTCCTTTACAAATGTGAACTTGACTAACGGCAATATATCTTCAAATCTGTGAGGAAAACTAAATTGTAGCATTTTGATTTACTACAAATCTGTACATGCAAGTGTAGTTATTCAGTGTAAACATGCATTCAGACGTATACCTACCTATATTCCTTTTATTTGTTTATGGTTATGCTGTTCTGTACCTTTCACTAATGACATATGCTGATTTTGCTCATGTTTTCTTTCTTCCAGGAACTTGTTCGAATGCTGCTCTCAAGTAAGTAATGTTTAAATTCTAGCATGCTTTTTTTTCTGCTGAAGCAAGTCTTAGGAAGCAACCTTATTTCTTTCAGTATAATGATACCACTGGGACAATGACACACAAGCTTTCGAAATGGCAACAAGCTGGCTACCACTGTGACAATGACACACAAATTTGTAAGTTATTTTATTTACTAAAAAACTAGATTGGTACTTTCTGTACTTCCTGTTGTTTCCCATGATTTTGCTGTGACTGATTTTTCCTAGCTACATGGTCATTTGTCTGCAAAACCATCACATGCTAGTGATTTGTTGAGAATTCATATTATGACAATGGAGTCAAGGAAAATGAGAGTGCTAACGAGAAATCTATCTTCCCATGTTGGCATAATCTTCTTGTTCTCTTCATCAGATTCTTTGAAACGATGATATTAACTGTTATGTGTATTACAGATGATCATTTGTACATTAATTGTGGGGGAAATGCAACATCAGTAGATGACCGTGATTATGAAGCTGATACGCAATCATATGGTGGATCAACTTTCTTTCTGAGTACAAATAAGACTTGGGCTTATAGTAGTATGGGAACGTTCCTGGAAACAGATGACGATGAATTCATTCTAAATAAAACATGCAATATATCAAACAGTGATGCATCTTTGTACTCAAATGCGCGCATAGCTCCAATATCGTTGAAATATTATGGATTTTGTTTGAAAAATGACACATACACGGTTAAACTTCACTTTGCTGAAATAGGATGGGATACAAATACATCTTCTACAATCAGGAAGAGAGTTTTTGATGTGGAAGTTCAGGTAAATTACTAATTTGATCTATATAAAAAACTTTTTAGGGAGAAATCAGAGATGTTAACTGGATCAATTATCACTACAGGGCGGCCAGTATTACCTGAGAGATTTTGATATACAAAAAGAGGCAGGAGATGTCAATAAGGTGAGAACCAAGGAGTTCAATGTATCTGTAAATGACTCAAGACTGGAGATTCATTTATATTGGACTGGGAAAGGTTCAACTTACAACCCAACAAAATACTATGGTCCCTCAATATCAGCTATTTCCGTTTATCCTGGTATAGTTCTTGTTCATTGACTAACCTGTAAGTCATGTTATATATAGCGTATATACTTTCTGTTATAGATTGTTGCAACAGTCCTGAATTTTTTTTTAAAGTAAAATTGCAAAATTTTATTGATAGAGAACTGAAGCATATACAAAGGAGCATATATACGCTATGATTCTCTACAACATTTTACAACCCATATTTCCATTCGTCTATCAAACTCTATCAAAGCATTTATGGAAAATACCCCACTCCACTATCAGCAACCAATTCTCCTGAATCTTTGGCACATCTCTCCATGAGGCTCCAATATACCGGATGGTGTCAATAATCTGACACAGCAGATATATTTTCATTTTGGAATAGCACCCGATTCCTTGCTTTCCAAATGTAGTACACAGAGACAGTTAGAGCAGGTTTTCGAAATTTAGCAATAAAGGATGTAGACGTCCAATGCCCACAGACTCAGGACAATTCCATTGACCATGCCAAAGGATCTCTGGAAACTGAAACCATTTTTAGAATTTTCTGCCGAAAAAGGATATTCAAAGAAGATATGATTCATCGATTCTTCTACACCACTGCACAACACACATTCAAATTTACCACTTAATCTTCCCCACATGACTATCCTCTTTAACAGTCCTGAATGTTCATTTATTCTTGTTTTAATTTCATCCGTTTAAACTGACGTAATTCCATTTATTCTTTTCTTTCTCTTCTTTGGTCATGTTACATCCACAAACTCAAAGAGGGGTGAGGGGATAATGGGTGGAAAGGTAACAGTTGTTAAGCACAGGAAATGGGAGAGGGGAAGTTGTGCAGGTGGGTAGAAAGGGTCGGGGAATTGTGGGAAGAAGCAGACCTAGGTGTTAGAAGGTTGTGAAGGTTATTTAAGAAGATTGGGACATCTCAGAAGCACATCAGGAATTAAGCACATTAAGGTTTATGGAGGAGAAAGAGTTGGGGAGATGTGAAGGAGAATGGGGGCAGAAGGGCTAGGAGCAGTTGGGTTTGGGGGTTGCAAGATTGGTTCAATTGTTTTAACTCATTATTGGAATTGGATCCTCTGTTATACTGAATATTACAATATTTATAAGGGTGGCACTTGTCCTTATGGCTGAATTTAAATGACAGGACACATGTCACCCATAATTCAGAGTATAACGTCAAGAAGTGTAACAAGGACCCAAACTGTTGTTTTTTATGTTAATGATGTGTTTTGGTCTCAAATAGCAGCTAATGGTTGATCTACTTTTTACTCACTGGAAATTTCATGGGAAACTAAGGGCCATTATGGTGTAATATTCAAATATCAGTGACCAAATTACTACTTCATGAGAAACAATATTAGGGATAAAATGAGATCTTTTGATATAATCAAGGACTGTTCCCGCAATTTTTCCTAGCTGTTCTGGTAACTCACTGATTCATGAATCAGCTCCTACAACCTAGATGAGTGTATACACCTAGACCTTATGGTCGCACACTATTTTGTGTTCATATTAACTCTTTCCTATATTTTTGTATCCTTTCTAGCAATAAATACAAAATAACGGACGCATTCCTTCTTTCTGATGCAAGATGTAACGTTGCTAACAAACTGTATTGTTGTTTTGGTAGCACCGAGGGAACCAGAACCAGTTGCAAGTAACGACAAAATTTCTTCCTCTGCTATTGCCGGGATAGTTGGATCTGCGCTGGTTTTTGGCATATTAATCTTGGCTCTATCCTGGGCATTAGTCAGGATTCGTCTTAGAAAGCTCAGAGGTATACTCAGTTTGATGCCTTGATATCCACAATGGTTTCCCTCGCTTCAAAAAATTTTCTTCCTTGTTATTACTGATATGTTGTTTTATTTACGAAAGATCCCGGATTCAAAAATTTCGACTTCAACAAATTAAATGCTGCCACCAATGGTTTTGATTCTGATAACAAGATAGATGTAGCTGGGAATGTCTACAGGGTATGCTTTATGTTTACACTACTTATTACTAAACTCACTTGCACATTTGAATTCTGTTAACTTTATCATTGATAGATTACTTGTATTATATAGGTAATCCCTGCCCTCACGTTTTAACTTGGAACTTTAGAACTTTTTTCAGCCTGCTCAGTTTCACTAATATCAGCATATATTGTTCTTGTTCTAAATGATCGATTTTAAGAACTTGACTGAATCAGGGTGAACTCGATGGGATTCAAGTAGCGGTCAAACAGCTTTCAGCGAATTCAGAAGAAGGGGCCCATGAATTCATAACCGCAATTGGTACAATTTCTGCACTAAAACATCCAAATCTTGCAACGCTAGTGGGATCCTGTGCCGAGAAAAACCTACTTGTCTACAAGTACATGGAAAATGTCTCCCTTCAACATGCATTATTTGGTAAAACAGGAGACTTTTTGTCTGGCAATTCCTTTAGAATGTGAAGCCAAATAAATTGCATTATGTGATTTTGTTAAAATGAGTTTATTGCAGGTCCAGCAGAAGTCAAATCAGAACTAAATTGGGAAACAAGGTATAAGATTTGCCTTGGGGTGGCAGAAGGTTTGGCTTGTCTTCATGAGTCCAAACAAGTAATACACTGCAATATCAAACCAACAAACATACTTCTTGACAAGGATTTTACCGTGAAGATATCCGATTTCGAATACTCCCAATTTCATGATTCTAAGCATGTTGATGCCCGGCCCAATAAAGACGAAACTGGTCTTGGCAGTATGCCAAAACCAAAAATGACGTAATGAATCACACAATTCGTTCAATTTAGTTTATCTTCTTGTAGACATAATGATATTTTCTCATCACAGAGCTTTGCTTGCAGGGGACATATGGCACCTGAGCAGGAAAAAGGCAACCGCTTAACACCTAAAGCAGATGTTTTTAGCTTTGGAATGATCACACTTGAAATTGTTAGCGGACAGGAAATTTGCCCATTGGGGTCAAAGGATTCAAATGACTACCTTCCGGTTAAGGTGAGATAACAGAAATGTAACACGAGAGGAAGAGAAGAAGATTGTGTTTTTTTTTTTTTTTTTTTTTTTTTGGGTAGATTGTTAAAACAGGTTGTTCTTTACACGTGTAGGCTTATAAACACCAGGTGGAGGGAAAGCTTACAGCTTTAGTTGATCCAGATCTGAAATCATCAAATTATGAACCGGATGAAGCACATACAATGCTATGTTTAGCAATGACATGTGTGAACCCAACCGCCGATGACAGGCCCACCATGTCATCTGTGGTTAAAACTCTTAAAGACAGTGAGAAATTTGGGGGAAAAAAAAAACCTGTTGTAATTTCTGAGCCTAAAGCTACCTTCCCTCGGTCTACTCATTCTGGGAGTACTTCTCACGGGGAAGCTTCAAATACAACCATTTCTCCATCCATCGGCAATGAAATTGATGATTCTCAATGTCACTGATTAATGTTTTGGGATCAGAAACCATTGAGATGGAATATGGTACTGTTCTTTCACTAGTTTTGTGGATGCTTACAAATGCCCCTTTCTGTGTGTGAATATGTATTCTGCAAAAACATATTTTTGGTTTATGTATGGTGTATCAACTGCTATTGCAAATTTCAATGAGTTCCAAATTTCAAGAAAACACACTATATTTTTCCATGACAGGCTTCCTTTGGAATGTGCAATTGCAAAATATAATGGATTTAGCGTTTCCTTTTTTATTACATTGTAGTCAACAAGATGGAAAAAGGAGAACAGTCCAACTTTTGCATGGTATGAAATCAAATGTAGTCTTTTGGTAAAAATAAAAAAAATACATGATGTGAATCTGATTTTTAGATGCATAGGAACCAGGGAAGGTATGATTGTTAACAGCACGATGATGTGCTCTTGGTTCTCTTTACAGACTTAACATATTGTTGCATTTCTGAGTACATGAAACATTTTGTTCATGTAAATTAACTCTTGTAATAGAACAAGAACAATACGTTGTCATACACCAAATCCGAAATGAGGAGATACAACCGGACCAACTTTCAATTGCACCCGTGCAAGTCCACAGTTGGCAATAGCAGGAGTTTTCAATCATTTAAAAATGCTTCTTGTTTTGTGACAACAGTAGCTAACTTGAGTAGCCAACAAACAATTTGTAAAACTATTGTTAGCCCAAGTCGGACGAAACATTATCAAGTGAGCCATGGTCCATTGCCGAGTCTTTATTCATTTTTTACGAGAATTCCCAGAGACGCACTGGAATCACTGGAGCGCAACTGCTAGTGTCCCTTTGTAGTCTGCATTATGCATGAACAGTCCGGCCTGTGAACTAAACCCGCCTGCCCAAGAAAAGAAGTAAGCCATAAATGTAAAAGGGAAAATCACAAGCATAGTCCTTTGCATTAACACCTTCTACTATTTAAATCTCTCATATTTGAAATTAACAGCTTGGGTCCCTCATATTTTGCAAAATGTATCATTTTGGTCTAAACTACAACTTTGATCAGCTTTTAGCCTGAAAGTGTTGGGCACATCCCGTGGACAAGAATGCAAGTGCAAAAATGAATTTACAGCTCATGAACCAAACAAAATAATTAAGGGAAATATCCTTTATATGTCAATAATAGCACTCCACTTGATTTTTTTTACTCGTATAAAAGGAATAAAATACTCCTATTTTACTTTTAATTACAAATTCAGGAAAATGGGTTGCTATAAAATAAGTGAAGATAGGGTGAGGGTGACAAGCGTATGGAAAGGGTTGAGAGGGTTAAAAAAAGGGTGAAGGATAAGGTATTTGTCATAGTTAAAACATCAACAGGGGTGCTGGTAACAATTTCCATAATTGATAACAAGAAAAGATATACAGAAAAGAAGCCAACTTTAATCTTTGTTTCAAACGTGTTTTCTTTTCATCCTTAAAATTGCAAGTTTAGTACTCGGGAATTAAATTTAGTCCATTTCTTCTATTTTAGTTTTGAAAAACCAAAATCAACTGCACAACTTTGCATCATTTTTCCATATTTTTCTTAATTGTATACCTTCTCTCGTAATCAACGGATAAACTTCTGTGTATGGTGCAATATTGAAAGTAGAATTAAGGATTACCCAAAATATATTTTTCGACATAAAAAATATTTTTTTTTTTTGTTCAAAGGGAGGACCAAGAATTGTAAAGTAAGGAATAGAGGGTTCTACTCCTCTAGAGAGGGGTTGACAGAGCAGTCTTGAGCGGTCGTTATAGACAAGGAAAGGGCTGTGAAGCAATGATCGGATGGTGATGATTCAGTGGAGCTGCGGAGGTGGAAGGATTTACGGAGCAAGGATTGGGTGGTGGTGATGAACAACAAAGAGTTGGCATTTGAGGTAATTTGTTAAAAGATTAGGGAATAGCACAAGATCATGAGAGTCTTGGTTTTTACAAGCAACATGATTGTGATTCGATTTTTTAACCATAAAATTTTCGGCCGCATAATGTGCACTTGCGGTCATCAAGTCAAACTTCAATAATAAGAATAAAACTGTAATTTTGGACTGCAATTGTATCTATCTAACTATATAAAAGCGGGAATTGAGTAATGAACAGTCAATTTTTTGTCAAGCGGTTATAAGGTAATTTTCAGCAATTTTGAGGGCAAATATGTTCTTTTGTTGACTTTTGGGCAAATAACTCTATGCTTTTATAGTTCTGTAACATGATTCAAGTGAAATGACATCGATGCTTTGCACTGGTTAAACACTGAGATCATTTTGAAAAGGGTAGGTTTATAATTTCATGAATAATTTATGTGGCAGTGGAATAATAGGTAATGTAGCATCACCACTGGCCATAAAAAACAGAGTCTCTTGGCTGATACTTCGAATCTCTAAATGAAAGTGTATGTCGGCCCGTTTGCTATATGAATTTTTTAGGTATTTGTTTAAAATTTTACCGTAGTTTACTATAGAAATTGTAGAAATTTTTGTTGAAGTATATGGTTTAAAAATTTTGAAAATTTTTTGTGATATTATTGAAGTTAAAGTTGTTAAAAATTTTATAGCAGACAAACTAGGCCAAAAATTTATTTGCCAAATAAGGTTTTAAGGAAAAATTAAAGGCCCCATTCGGCAAATATGTTTTTTAGGTGTTTATTTAAAATTTTACCGTAACTTACTGTAAAAGTTGCATGAAAATTTTTTGAAGTGTGTACATTTTTGGGTATTTCGAAATGTATAGTTTAAAGATTTTGAGAAATTTTTTGCGACTACTGTAGATATGTATAGTTTAAAGACTTTGAGGATTTTTTTTGGGATTACTGTAGGTAAAATTATCAAAAAATTTACCGAAGACACACTTGGCCAAAAATTTGTTTGCCAAACAAACCCAAAGATTGACCAGATGGTGCAAAGTTGTAACTTTACAACTAACAGGGAATCTCAAGATCTTCAATAAACTAATTTTACATTGTACATTTTAAAAAGATACAATTTATGTGATTTAATGTTATTATATATTTTTTTATTTAGGCTCTTTAAGTTGGAATGTTGAATTTAGTGATTTTTTTTATTTTTTTAAACAAAATTTAAAAGTTAGTCTTGTATTTTTAGTAGAAAGTTAATTTTGTGTTTAATTATTTGCTTTTGAAGTATTCTGTAAATGTACAATTATTGAGGAAACAATTAATAAATGATTGTTGGCTTAACATGAAATAAAATTGTTAAGTGTTATGTAAATGCACAATTATTGAGGAAATAATTAATAAATTATTATTGGCTTTAGTAACTTAAAAAATGGATTTTATTACTATGACATGAAATAAAATTGTTTGGAAAAAAAATGAATGCATATATTGCAAAAAAATGAAATAAAATAGTGCTCTGTAAAATTGTTGAATGCATTGATTGTTTAGCATGTTCAGCAGTAGCTTTTCACTGCACGATTCCCAAAAAATTGAACATCAGTAAAAAAAAAAAAATAAGAAAAGAAGTCCAACATTATTATCACAATTAACCAAAATCGGTTAAGGTGTCATGGACTAAAAATGGTTTCTAATCCCACTGCTTTTTAAAACATACAATTATAAAGATATATTAGTCTATATATCCATATTACTCTATATAATTATTACAAATTTTTAATGCCCTTGTTTTTATTCTTATTGTTTTCGTTATATAAAAAAGAATAATTAGTATGTTATTTACTAATAGTCCGGACATCCAATAACAATTGCAGGATAACCGCTTGACAAAAAAACACTATTCATGGGGCAACTCTCACTTTTATATTGTTAGATAGATATCCATATTTAATGTATATATATAATTATTATAAAATTTTTCCTAATGGCTCTAAATTTAATGTATATATATATAATGTATATATATTCATTTTTCCTAATGGCTCTAAATTGCTCTAAATTGAAAAACAATGTTGTATGCTATTTTTTTTTTTATTCTTTTAGTCAAACATGCAACATTAATTAGATTGTTTCTTACATTAAAAAAATTAAACTATTGTAAATTTCAAAAACAATGTAATAATACATGGCTCTTAATGTGGATTAATGATCTAATATTAGTGAAGGGCATTTTACAAAAATATGAAAGAAAAATAATTGTTGTGATTATATTGATTAAATGTTTTAATTTTTGTGCAAAAAGAAAGGAAATAGGTCCATATTTATGGAACTTAGTGAGTAATAGAGATATACATAAATATAGACGGGTATCTTTATAATTACCTCACTCAAACCACATAATTTATACAAATCATACCACACAAAATGTCGACACTGCATTGTCTCAATTATAATACTTTATTAACCATTATATTACAAAATATCATCCATACTACACAAACTATTAACACTATATTCACCCAACCAATTTACCACACTATTATTTTATAATTCAAGCCAGACTTATAACAATTATATGACTCTCTATATTATAAGAAATATATAACGGCTAAGAATTAAGCAACTTAACATGGGAAGTATTAGCACTCTTGCGCAACGTGCAGGCCGTCTCACTAGTGTTCTTAAAACGAGAGAGTTAGTAAAGTACAAAATAGAAATATGAAGTAATATTTCTGCAATTTTTTCCTACATAGGACCATAAGGTTGGTTAAATTGAATTGAAAAAGAATGAGATTGAGGTAATTTTTTCATCTTGTTTTATTGAAAAGGTATCCAAACAACTGATTATCAAAAACTGCATTAAACGAAATTCCAAAGATAATTTTAATACCGAAAGATCATCGTGATACACGTTTTGCAACTGATCCCAAGGCAATGGTGACTTTCAGACAATGGGCTCCGGCCGGCCCCTCAGCCTATGGGGCTAAAAAGTGGCTTTATTTGCTTAGTCTTATGCAAAAGGCAGGGGAAAAGCCTTCCTCCCATTCTTTTTCCTCCCAACAGTTACCCATTGACGGCGACTTAAATTAGCATTTCTTCCAAGTCACACCATCAGCCAAATGGAAGCCAACTCGCATCAACAGATTGGAGCTCCTAGAATCACAGCTCTAATTGGAAGGTACAATTAATGGAGGGGATTATATTTGATTTAAAATTGGATGAATTATGAGATTTGATATAAAATACAAATTTTTAAAAAGTGGCAAAATCTATTAGTATATTTTTACATGTTACTGTATTAATGCCTGCATTAATTTTATGTATGAATCATTGAACCGTACAATTGGGATTGGTGATTAAACCATTTCTTGATGATCAGTTAGATGTTGTTATCAAAATTGATAATTAATCTCATATACACTAGAAGACCTTTGGGTGATTAGGTTGATATACAAAAAAGTAATATTGTTTATCTCTCGGTTTCATTAAGAGGGAAGTATTTATGACGGAACTTCCTCCATCTAAACAAACCAAACGGTAGTAAATTTAGCTTTGGTTTGCCTTACTCGACTAACATGAGCCTCAAAACGAATCATGTAGGAGCATCATCTCTTGCAGTAATACAGCAACCATTTCAGCAGGGTACAGCTAAAGAAGTTTCCCTTTCATGTGGAGAAAATTCTGATCCCTGATCAAGCAACTTTATGATCTTGCACATCCAGTTGATGAATGAGAATTGGTCGCGCGGCCATGCATAATAATATCAATGCAATCATTTTTTTTTTTAATCAATTCTTTCAAGTATGTCCATTTCAAGATTTTATAATATGACATCGACTTCAGTTATGCATCAAAAAACACAAAATGTTGTCGTCATTTCACACTTTTAATCTCTTTACTTTTGGATCACCAATCAGCTTGGTTATGCATGCAAATACAGTAAGTCCACTTGAATAAGTAAGCCTGTTTATGGATATTCCTGATCATGCAAATTCATTCCTGCACATCCACTTTGATGGTAATAAGATTAAGACCATGTGAACAAGGCAATCATCTTTTTTTTTTGAGAGATAAAATATTCCTGCATCCACACACATACCTTATGTTCTATTCCTCTCAAGTAGGTCCATTCCGGTAAAGCATCTCTGGAATATATATCCTGTTATCTTTAGACTTGACCAAGATTCTATAGTACGACATTGATGGCCATAACTAGACATCACTATGATTATCATTACTCATTAATCACTCCCCTTACGTCACCTTTGTTACGTAATTCGATATGTGGTGGCATGGTCCAGCCTAGGAATTTTTCGTCTATTGTGGTGGGTGATCATGCAAGTTCATGTACCATCCTCATTCTTAAAACTCTTGCTTTATTTATTTATCTATTGTTTTGCTTTAAGAAAGCGACAAGATAGGTTAACTTGCAAAAGCGTGGAAGGAAGCTTAACTATTTTTCCAAATTGACTAATTAAGAATTCAGACTTTAATTTAGAGAACCAACGACAATTCAGACTTTAAATTTGTCTAGCTAAGTCCCTTTCAGCTATAGCTTTGGAATTAACCAGCATTATTGGCATCCTAAAGTAAAGCTCCTTTAATTCCCTGATTAGCTTTCCTGTAACTAAAGCTGTCTCTCCAACATGAAAGGCAACTGTACCTGAGGTGCCCACAAATTATTGTTTAATTTAATAATTCATTCCCAGATTAGCTTTTCTATATTATGAATTCATGCAATGCAAGCAAGCAAGCATTCATATGCAAGACTTAGTGGAACACTTCAGAGCTAAGCTTCAAAGCAAGGTGCAAGTTCCTGAGAGGAATACAAAAAAAAAATAGTGATAGAGAAAAACATGCTCAAGGTTTTAGCTTATTTCTTGCTGTTTTTGGCACTGAACGGTCAAACAAGTTTGGGACAAGTGATGACTGGTGCTCCTGCTGCTGCTCCCTCCCCTCAGCCTCCGTTTTTGCCACCTCCACCAAAGCCACCAAAGCCAAAGCTTCCCGAAGAAGAGGGTACGTAAAAAGCATACATGCACCAAATTGCTTGTTTTTATGTATATTTGTACTTTTCACAGATATTTTCGAGAAGCGAGGAGCAGGGAAGAGAGAAAAAGCAGGAAAGAAAAATGGAGTCAATCGAATCCAAAGTTTAAACTTTTATTAATTGAAGAAAAATTTATAATGTAGAAATAACTTAGGGATTTCCTTAAAAAGGAAACACTAAAATAGTGGAACAAATAAAAATAGAAAGACCAATAGCCTTTTCGGTTGTTAATGTAAAAAACAAAAAGGGCATTCTTTGAAAAAGAAGAACAACGAAAGGGAATTCTTTATCCTGATTTTTATTTCTCATTTTTCTTCCTTTTAGATAAACTTTAGGAAACTATTATCTATCACTTTCTTTATCACATTTCTTATCTCTCTGAAACTAAATTTGAATTTAGTTTCTTTTTTATGTGTGTGTCACATATACATGATTTGAATTCAAATTTTAACTCATGTTATATAGTATGATCTAAACCTATTAGCGTAAAAGACAAAATTATACAGCGATAGTGTATAAAAAGAAGTTATCCTAACACTGCAATATTTACCATGTAATTAAATAGTTATCTTACTTCTCACGCACACATGCACCAAAAAATTTTTTAAAAAAAAACCACCCAAGCAAGTGACGGTGTCTAACAGCCACAGGTGAAAATGTTTCTATATGCTTTGAAGGAATTGTCATCTGTTTCTGTTGTTAGTATGAAGGTAGTGTCATTTGTTATATTGGAGACTGAAACTAGTGTTCTTGTTCTTTTGTGGATTCGGTTTATTTCTTGGCTTGGAGAATCAAATTAGTGAAGAATGGTTTTTGTTCCTGGTCTCGTGATAAGGGTTCGATTCCATTATTCATCTGTTACTAGCATGGCAATTATTAAGGTTGTTTGAGTAATTGAAAATTTCTTGTGGAGACGACAACGAAAAGACTGTTCTGAGATGTAAAAAGTGGGCAAGTATTTCTTGTTTTACTATGAGAAACATTTCTTGTAAGTTTAGCTGCATTGATTGGCATTGACACCTGAATTCTCTGAGATAATTGAGAATGAAGGGTATAGATTGATTGGCAACATTTCTTGATATCAGATTTGATGAAATTAAATTGACGTGATTGTTTTTATCCAACCAATTGCTATCTTCTGAACTCTCTTAATTCATTTGAGAACTTTATATGTCCATGCTAGTGTCTTATATACAATTTCTTGTCAGTGGATGCTGTCAACAGTCTGCTTCAACTTTTGAGTCCATACTCGCCTTTGGGGCCTGCCTACTTCTCCGAATTGAGTTGTCATTATATAAAGTTTAGTCCTGTGCTTACATGCAATTGCACGTTGGACGACAAAACTTGCAGAGTGGTTGCGATGTACGTTTTCTCCGACTGCACATGTTTTAGTTTTTTTTTTCATGTAATTATTGGCATTTTGTAACTCTAATTTAAGCGGCTTATCCTTAGAATACACTTGTAAGTTGAACTAAAAGGTCAAATGACTTTTAAAATTTTATTCACTGCGAAAGACAGCTAATATGCCTTGAGTGGATATGTAAGAACTTAGCTGCTGTATATGGCCTGAGAATGATGCACTCAAATAGGAGAACAGACTATTTCAATTAATATTGATATGCTATCATTGCTTTTAGACTCTTGGATTTTGGGGATTTCTTTATCAAGGGGATTTCGTTTGCATTATACCAACATTTTGGATTTCAGTTATCTCTCAGGTCAGGATTTAACAGGGTCTATACCACCAGAAATTGGAAACCTATCTCATTTGGAATCACTGTAAGCAAGTGCAGAACATTTTTTCAGCTTTCTTTGTCATTTAATGATGTTGATTGAGGACTATTACAGCCAAATCGGAAATCTGTACTCGATGACTGATAATGATCACTATTTTCATTCTCTAGATGTAATGTTCAATGAATCTATATTTGCTAGTACTCTTGTTCTTGATCTGTGTTATGTATCTATTTTTCAGCCATTAAGATTTCCACTATAGGGAAATCGTTAGTCTGAATATAGCATACCAATCATCTGTCTAATAACAACACTTTCTTTGAAAATTACCAGAATACAGTGAACTGTAAAACGATTCACATACCATAGCAGTTGCGCTCTGGAGACTAGCTTAGTGGTGTCCTCCCTCCTATATAGTTTCAACTACATTTCTCTGACAACTTTTCAAAAGCTTATGCACAAAAATACATGTGATATAGGTGTGTGAATAGTATATTTATTTATTTATACATATCTTTCAATGCCTTTTCAAAAGTAACTTTCTAATCCAGGAGTAGTAATTTTTCCAGTAAGGGACGCAAACAGATGGAATCTAGGAGTCCTAGTGATATCCTGTTAACCTTAACATGTAAATCCTACCAAGGAGTACATGCTCTGACTTTTATTGCCTTCAAATTAGCAGAAAAGTGATATTCCAATATCCAGGTTCCAAACGTATTTCTCCAAGTGCTTGTTTTGGTGGGACACAGGTGTTCTTCCTTTTACAGCAATTGGATCTTAGTGGATTTTTCGGACCTCAGATTCGTTTGGATAGAGGAAAAGTACAGATTCAGCAGAGCAGGAGGGAGATGTAAAATTTTTGATATAACTGCCAATTAAGAATAGTTGGTGGTGTCAGCATCAAAGGGATCAGTTGTTCTTATGAGCTGCGTAAGGGTAAATAAAGACTTCTGTCTGGGCAGAGTAAAAGAAGGGTGTTGAGAGAAAGAAAGTAAAGTGGTGCTAATGTATCTTCTATGATGTAGGGTGGGGAAGATTTGATCCAAACGAAATTCTTCTGAAGTTTGTGGATGGAGACGGTGAAGTCATGTTCCAAGAGCGTAGCTTTTGAAACATTGGTTTTGACCATGAAACACCAAGTCTATTTTTGTTCAATTGGCTTTAAAGTTACTTCACCGACTAGCAACTCTAGCTGTGGTTGATAGAAAATAATTTTCCTATTCATTTAAAATTCGGACATTAAAATACTACCTTGACTGTGTTTTGGATTTGCAAATGCTACCTTTGGAAAGCTATATATTTTCAGTACTAGTAAATGAATTATGCAGTAATTAGGTATAAAAACTAGTGGACTAACGGGGTTGTTGGATATCTCTAACTATATTATGCCTTTGGTTGGATAAACTGGTTACACGATCAATGGTAGAAATGTAATATATTCAGATCTTAGTTCTCAGTTACACGAGTCCCGTATACAATGGTTCACAGACTGTCTATTGTACCCTGCGGAAGTGTTATGGCTCCTTTGTGAACAATCATATACATCATATTAACCATGCTAATTCCCAACTCTTTAAACATCAAATTAGGCATGTCTAGACATGTGCAGAACACAATTCATCTAATTATTCTTTTAGACTTTTCTTCTCTCTAGCCCTTTCCTCTGCTGAATTTTAGTGGATGAGTGTTGAGGATATGATGCGAAGGTAGGCATGTTGTGTGTTGAAAATTGGCGATATTTTTAGGGTTACATTTATTTTTTTGCACAATAATATAGATAGATGTAGCTGCCCTACAGTTGAGTAGGCTTCATCATCTTTCTCCAGCACTCTTATTTCTTCACATCTTCTTTTTCTCTCATTTTTTATTTTCCCGAACTTTGTGGAGTCAATATATACTCTTGGCACTCAAATGCTCAAGCCATGTATGGAACTTGGAAATCCTTTATAAGAATCAACAAGAAAGCCTTTAACTGACAGATTTTTTAGTTCAGTTACACATTATGACATTGTCCCGTTGTGATAAAATGTACTATAAAAACCTTGAGCAAAATACCATGATGGTCATGTCATTACAGTATATGTTCAGCTTCAGGATTTTTCTATAAGAATCAACAGGAAAGCTTTTAACAAACAGACTTTTTAGTTCAGTTAAACAATATGACATTGTCCCATTATGATAAATGTTCGAGTTTTGTTGATCTCTAGGTGTATAATATCTTCTTCTTCTTTTTTTTGTCTTTCTCTTATGTTTTAATTTTTGTTATCTTCTGTTGTTCCTAAATCTGTGCTCTTCTCATTGCCATTCTTCTCATGTTATTTGTTTTATTGGAATGGATCTATTTATTGAAAGCAGCTTGATTGGAATTTGAAAGATGTATATATATACAGAGTGATTTTGTCGAATGTTCCTTCAGCAGTGAAATCCATTTGTTATTTTGGCATTTCCAGATACTTGAGGTCAAATAGTCTTATGGGCTCAATTCCCAACACTTTTGTGAAGTTGTCTCAGCTTTCGATACTGTAAGTAACTATATGAACTTCATTTCTGTTAAAACTACTCTGTTTGGAATTCTTTGATCGTCAAAATTACAATCCCTATCATTTTCTGTGGCTAAAGCTGATATGAAGCAAGAGAACGTACAGTTAGTTAATTTTAACTGACTCTTAATTGCCAAAAAGTAACGATACAACAAAAGTAATCTGTACAATAATGTTCCCTCATATTGCCACTGACATGTTGGAAAATTCTAATGGGCTGTTTTGGTGGACAGCGATGTTAGGACCGGGCCAGGAATAGACAAACTCAAGTTAGCACAAAATAGGCGGTATAACCGACCATATAATAGATAGGCGGTAGATACCAGCCATATAATAATTAGACGGTAAAACCAACCATATAAAGACGGATAACAAAGCAAATAAAAGACACAAAAGATTTACGTGGTTCGGTCAAATTAACCTACGTCCACGGGCGAGGGAGGAGCAATATTTCTACTATGAAGAAGAAATACAAAAGACCGTAGGAAAGTGGTTCCTAGGCCAATAGGCACTTACAAAAGAGTTTAGAAAATATTCCTAAACTCAAAATAAGAGAGCCTAAAATATTTGACTAAATGGGCTAAATGACTCAAGAAGCTAATAGCCCATATAACTCTCTTAAGTGATGCACTTAAACTTCTCAAAGGCCTTCTCTATTTATAGGAAACAATGGAGGCTATTCCCTCAGCTTCTGGCGATGTGGGATTACAAAATTCTGCCACAGTCAAGAATCAAGAATTGCGGCTGCAGCAAGAAGTCAAGAGTTGCTGCTGTGGCTTGACTTTAACAAGCGACTTATGTGATAACAAGTTGGAAGGACCGCTACCGAAGTTCCTTAGTGAACTGAAGTCATTACGAGGCTTGTAAGTCTGCAAATCACTGTGTACTATATATTGTTATCTGATCATATGACTTGTTGGTAAGATTTTGTAGTTTTGCATGAAGAAAGAAAGAAAAGCATCAATGATGACGGAAATAAAGTAACACTTGGCATGATTATTCTTTTAATGGGAAAATAGCAAAAAATTGCATCAATATAAATTAGAATAAGCACCACCTAGTGATGCTACTTAGCATATCCAAGTATCAAAACAAAATTTTTTTTGGCCATTTGTTTCCTTTGGGAATGTTTAGCATATAATATTGATTGTAAATTAAGAACATCTTCTCAATTTGTGCATCTTAATATATTATTGAAGATGATGATCTATGTAATTTCTCGTGCAATCACAGATATTTGTGCAATAATTTGTTTAATGAATCAATTCCGCCGGAAATCGGAGGTTGTCCAAAGCTTGAATACCTGTAAGTATCTTGTTCTTTGTTTGAAATCTGGGTCACTTGGGCAATTGGACTGATTCTGGGTGCTGATCTAGATTGGCTTCCATCTATTTTTTCCCACAAGAGTTTAAGAATAGATCAGTCTACTTAATTTGGCGCAGTTAAGGTAGGCGTGAAATGGAATGGATGTGGATCTAGCTGACTGATTTTTTGGTCCTGGATCTGATTAATACAAAAAAAAGAAGTGCATATTAAAAAGTGTCGGAAAAAGTGCATACTTAACTTGTCATCTAATTTGTGCAATTTTTATTTTTAAATTCTTCTTTTTTGCATGCAGGGTTTTATATAATAATTCTTTGTCGGGGAAATTGCCAGATGAGTTGGGGCATGTTTCAACACTTCGAGGACTGTAAGGCCTTGGTTTAGATTTCTTGTTGTCATCATATATGCTTTATTTTGTTGGTTTATTCTGAGTGTCTTATGGAGTTGTAGGAATTTGGCTGAAAATCAATTTTGGGGTCGGCTTCCTGAATCACTGGGAAGCCTAGCTCTTCTTGAAGAGATGTAAGATCCTAAATGATTTTATTTTACTAATTACACTATTTATTTTAGCATGTGGATGAAAAGTAACCGATTGAAGGAAGTGAAACTCGAAGAGTTGACAAGAACAGGATAAATTTAACATACTGCTGCTACTCATCAAGAAAGAGAAAAATTAATCTCTCAGCTTAGCAGGAAAAGCTAAAAGCAGTTAATAAATGGACTTGATAAACCTAATCTACTACAAAATAGACTTTGATTAATAGCACACCTCAGATTGGAATTTCAGAAAGAATAAAAATGAATAGGGTATATATGTGAGAGAGAGTGGAACGTCTGTTGATTTTTATTACTTTGGAAAACATCAACCAAGCCATTTCATTGTTTTGCCTTAGAGTCCAGGCCACCGGAGTTAACATGGAATCTTGGGGATACAGTACACATGAAAATAGTCTAGATAAAACATATTCTCAGAGATGAAATATGACAGCCTGAAGATCCTATATTAGAAATGTGGACGCCGAAGAAAAATCAACTACAACTTAAGATCTTGAATTTACTTCTTTTTGTTTGGATATTAAATGACACATAATTTCAGGTATGTGATGAACAATCTTTTTGATGATCAGTTGCCTCAAAGCTTTCAGAAGTTGACAAAGTTGAAGGCTTTGTAAGTGAAATTCCGGGGCATATGATTTTGCCATCTTTCACTTAATGCAAAAAAAAAAAAAAAAAAAAAAGCACACTTCTGTACAAGAGACTCACCTTGACCATTGTCTCTCTCTGTAGCAATATTCGAGGAAATGCTTTCAACAAGAGCATCCCCGGATATATTTTCGAGTGGGACAAACTTGAAATATTGTAAGCTTAAGTGAACTACATGAACTAAATTTTTTGGCCTACAATTGAGTTATTTATTTATTGTAATTCAAAATTGACTTTTTTTTTTGGATAGGTCACTGATGGGAAACAATTTTGAAGGGCATTTACCAAATAAAATCTTAGGATTGCCAAGGCTGACTTACCTGTAAGTATTTAGGCCCATTAAACGTACTCATTCTTGATACCTTTTATTAGACATTGTAAGAAGACTACGATGTTTGTTTTCTAAATTTATTTATGTATAGGGCCATAAATAACTTACCTGGACGAGAGACAGATGTTTTGTTTCCTGATATTCACAATATTGTGCATCTGAAATCCTTGTAAGTTTTGAAATGTCAATTAGTATTGGTTTATGTAATTCATTTCTTACAGATTTTCATTCATTTGTTCAGGACATTGAGGAAATGTTCACTCACTGGTCCAATTCCTGATTATATCTGGCGGTTCACAAACCTGTCTTACCTGTAAGAGATGTTTCAGTATGCTGTCCGTTGGCCCTTTAATCTTGCTTTCTGTTTTCATGCCCGATGCTATGTGAGTATGCATGTGTGCGCATGTGATGCCAAGCTTGCACAGGCAGCTGTGTTTATGTGTTTATGTCTTGGCATCCTAATGTGCAGGGAATTCTGCAGGTTTAAGAGGTCTAGTTTGCTCCCCTTATATGCATATGCCCTACTGTCTTAGTTTATTTTTATAATTCGCCTTTGGAAACCGACTTTAAATGGAAAACTTCTTACATGCTATAGAGCTTTCAAAAAAATCTTTATGTGGAAAGTGTTTGAATTGGATTGAATTACTGATATGATGACCTTACTAGTCATAATTTTTTTTCCCTTCAATTCGTTTTGAATTTTTTATGCTTGATAAAGAAAAGTGGTGCTAGGATTAAAATTTAAAGGCTATACTCAAGTTTTGCTTAATTTTTATCATCAAATACTACTTTCTAATCTGCCTTTTGTTTTCCAGTAAGCCCTTCTGTAGGTGTGCTGGTTTTGATAAAAGATATTTATATTCTCATATTGGATTTTATCATGATAGGGACTTGAGTTTCAATAATTTGACGGGGATAATTCCGCCAGACTTGAACCAGTCCCCGCTACAGTTCGTGTAAGAGATTTTTTGTCATCTTTCCTTCCTATGTCCATCTTTCTATTAATAGAGGCACAACTATAATGTTATATTTTTTCCATACCTTTAACTCATTTTGTTCTACGCCTTATAGTTCTTTGTTCATTTCCATGGAATATCCATTGGATCACATCTGGACACAACTTTAGCTACATTCTCTACCCGTCTACCTACTCGGATGTTCCATTTACTCCCCACATTTTAATCTTTCTACTGAATTTGCAGCATAGTGCATGACTATTTGTAAACCCAAGATCTCATCTATAGGAGGTGGAATGCAGTAATTGACTCTGTTTGCCCTTTAGCCGCACTGTAGCATGACCTGCTAGAATCTTCAGAACTACATACAAGAAACGGAAGCATACAAGAATTTGTTTTTGCTAATGATACTAAACTTTTAGTCATGTTTTTCTCATTGTTTCTGCTAAACTGACTTAAGACACGACCTCTGAACTTCCTCTTCTAGAGTCTTTTGTTGAAGATTTGAAAAAATTTTCCACCTGGATATTCTTGATTTTCCTGATCAACTGATTCTACTAAATCACCAGATCAGACGGGTTGCTTTTCATGTGACAAGATCCTATCCAAGATGAATATTCCATTACATGACTTTGTGACTGCTTTTTTCTCAATTATTTAGTAACAGCAACAAATTCTTATGAAATAGCAGCCCGATTTTGTAGTTTTATGTGTTTGAGAGTTGCTTATAAAGTATTTCCCGTTTATTACTATTTATCATTCTGATTTGGAGAATACTAAGATAGGTTCACCTAAATTCGTGGGGGCAGATTCTCTTACTTCTAGTTAATATACAGTATCTTCTCTCCCTATTACATTGGTGGCCAGACAAAATATGAAGATAGCTATAGCCCACAATTTCTGAGGCGGATTTTTCTATATGTTCCGTCATATTCTTGTCTTCGATGGTCCTTGATTGGTTGTGACATATCTTCAGGACTGTTTGATAGTTTAGTCAGTGCAAGGATGATTACCCACCATTATTGACTGGTTAACTATGTTGTATGGAGAGTTTTGAACCCAATAAAAGACAGATTGAAGCTTCCTTTTCTTTTCTTTAAATTATTAAGTAGTTTGAAGCACCTTGCTTCTGGGATCTTGCTACGTTTGTTTTGTCGCTTTAGGAATGAGTTGTAAATGTCAAAGATCCTACAGAATGTGAATATAACTTCTTAATTATCTGAAGCATATGTTTATGCACGGGAAATAATCATGTTCACTAAGATTGTAACCAAAGGAAAAAATACTTGAGTTGGGATGCGGATTACACACCCAATCTGGTTCTTAATGCCAAATTAATGCCATAGCATGTGGAGTTGATAGATTATCCAGGTGGCGTGAAGACTTGTCTGAAGGCCAACTCATCCATGTATCACCTGAAAATATCTTACAGTTTGTATGTTAATTGTCATTTTCTAATTATTTTATATGTCAATTGTCATTTGGCCCCAAATTTGGTTGGTTTTTCATTAGAGACAAGATTGAACTCGGGTCTTCCTTGCTTTGCACTTGCCTTGGCACATAGGTAACTGTACTTCTTGTTTTGGTATATCTAGACATAATTTGACTATGCATTCATTGAATTTCAGACTTGTTTGGAATGATAGATTGTACTACTTATCACCTTACTCCTCTTATTCACGAGTTCAGGTTTCCTTGGCTATCATAGTAAGTTTTGAGAACTTTTTGGCATTTGGCTCTATTTTCCAGCTTTCTTAGAAGTAACAACCTCAATGGGACAGTACCTGGATGGCTGACGAGTTTGAGTAACTCTGGCTCATATGTGTAAGTGTTCATTTGGTGAATTCAGAGTTTCGCCTAATTAAACATTAAGAGGATGGCATTCATTTGAGGGAGGTGTTATACAAACCGAAATTTCTTTTGAGTTCAGATGTCTTCATTAGGGTTGTTTTGACATTAGCAACTTACGTGAAGAAGACTAATGCTAGCTGTCTTTTTGGTTGACATGCTTACAATGCTAGAATTTTTAAAATACTTATTTTCGAATGGATAAATGTGTGTAGAAGCACAATACTGTTTAAGAAGATATAATGCTTTGGCTTCCCTCCCCACTCCTGGGCAACAACATAACATATCAGCGTCAACCAGTCGAGCGAATCTGAACCTGTAAAGGATTTTTGACACTCTAGAAACTGAATCCAGATCAATCTTTTAGTATGCTGTATCTCTCGATTGCTCTAAATCCCTCGATTGGTACATGTGAATGAATGTTCATGATGGAAGTCTAGGACACGAGAATGTTCAGGATGGTTAGAAAAAGAATTTTTTAATTCCAATATCTGGTGCACAAGTAAAAATGGAATGTAGTTTTTGTTTTTCAATATTACGTATTATCAATATTTAGATACCATAATGAAATAAAATCTATACAAATTTGACCTAATTGCCCTGGATTATTGTATAAGACATAACATGTTTTATTTAGCCTGATGCTTTTTCTAATTACGTTTGTAAAACTAGTGAGGAGAGCTCCTGATTAGTTGCTGCATTTCCTCTGATGATTCCTTCTGTTCAATGTTCCTTTTTCCCATCGCCCCAACTCCCTTTAGTTTTCTCGCACTGACTCCTGATTAGTTGTTGCATTTTCTCTGGTGATTCCTTCCGTTCAATGCTCCTTTCTCCCATCGCACCGACTCCCTTTAGTTCTGTTTGTAGAACTTTTTCCTTTTAGTCAACTAAATTGTTAGTAGTCAGATAACAAACAAGTCATGCAGTAGATGCTTTCTATGATGATAGGACAAATCCCACTGTCCTTGTATTGAAGTATAGGCTGAAACAAACAGGAATGCACTCATGGCTTGTGATATTTCGTTGATTTCATGGCTTATGCATATATGGAAATGCACTCATTGTTTATTTATTTATTTATCTTTTTTTTTTTTTAAAAAAAAAAAGGGCAGCTCACATTCTGTTAAGGTTTCTTACAGAAGCCCTTACCTATAGTAGATGGAATGCTGATTGTTCGATGTTTAATCCACCACATAGTTTAGTAGTGTAAATATATATTTCAGTTGGAGAATTGCATGATCGGAATCACAGTACTTTTCCAGAAAAATGAGCATAAATTTATGATTTATTACAAGATGCAACAGTTTCAGCAATAAAGAGATCACCAAGTTGTTCATGACTGCATAACTCATGTTATACTATTGCTCATTCCTTTTCCACAAAATTCACTGATTTACTTACTGGTCTTCAAATTTGATTTTGTTTCAACAATGTATATTCCTTACAATTAAAATGAATGTTTATTGCTTTCAGTTTCCATATATAATTGCCCAATTTATACTTAGTTGTAACAGTTTCATTCGACATTTTGCAGGGATGTTTCTGAAAATTCTTTTACAAATGTGACCTTGAGTAACGACTATGTAGCTTCAAATCTGTGAGGAAATCTAACTTGTAGTCGCATTTTGGTTTACTACAAATCTGTACATGCAAGTGTAGTTATTCAGTGTAAACATGCATTCAGACGTATACCTACCTATATTCCTTTTATTTGTTTATGGTTATGCTGTTCGGTACCTTTCACTAATGACATATGCTGATTTTGTCATGATTTCTTTCTTCCAGGAACTTGTTCGAATACCGCTCTCAAGTAAGTACTGTTTAAATTCTAGCATGCTTGTTTTTCTGCTGAAGCAAGTCTTAGGAAGCAACCTTATTTCTTTCAGTATAGTGATACGAGATCGAAATGGCAACAAGCTGGCTACCACTGTGACAATGACACACAAATTTGTAAGATATTTTATTTACTCAAAAACTAGATTGGTACTTTCTGTACTTCCTGTTGTTTCCCGTGATTTTGCTGTGACTGATTTTTCCTACCTACATGGTCATTTGTCTGCAAAACCATCACATGCTAGCGATTTGTTGAGAATTCATTTTATGACAATGGATTCATTTTGTTGAGAGTTCATTTTATGAGAGTAGTAACGAGAAGTCTATCTTCCCATGTTGGCATAATCTTCTTGTTCTCTTCATCAGATTCTTTGGAACGATGATATTAACTGTTATGTGTATTACAGATGATCATTTGTACATTAATTGTGGGGGAAATGCAACATCAGTAGATGGACGTGATTATGAAGCTGATACGCAATCATATGGTGGATCAACTTTCTTTCTGAGTACAAATAAGACTTGGGCTTATAGTAGTATGGGAAAGTTCCTGGATACAGATGAAGATGAATTCATTCTAGATAAAACATGCAATATATCCAACACTGATGTATCTTTGTACTCAAATGCGCGCATAGCTCCAATATCGTTGAAATATTATGGATTTTGTTTGAAAAATGACAACTATACGGTTAAACTTCACTTTGCTGAAATAGGATGGGATACAAGTGGATCTTCTACAATCAGGAAGAGGGTTTTTGATGTGGATGTTCAGGTAAATTACTAATTTGATCTAGATAAAGAACTATTTACGGAGAAATCGGAGATGTTAACTGGATCAATTATGACTACAGGGCGGCCAGTATTACCAGAGAGATTTTGATATACAAAAATTGAAAAGAGATTTCATGGAGTGCAATGTATCTGTAACTGACTCAAGACTGGAGATTCATTTATATTGGACTGGGAAAGGTTCAACTTACACCCCAACAAAATACTATGGTCCCTTAATATCAGCTATTTCCGTGTATCCTGGTATGGTTCTTGTTCATTGACTAACCAGTAAGTCATGTTATATATAGCGTATATACTTTCTGTTATAGATTGTTGCAACAGTCCTGAATTTTTTTTTTACAGTAAAATTGCAAAATTTTATTGATAGAGAACTGAAGCATATGCAAAGAAGCATATATACGCTAACTGTACATCTATGATTCTCTACAACATTTTACAACCCATATTTCTAATTGTCTATCAAACTCTATCAAAGCATTTATGAAAAATACCCCACTCAACTATCAGCAACCAATTCTCCTGAATCTTTGGCGCATCTCTCCATGAGGCTCCAATATACCGGTTGGTATCAATAATCTGACCTACTATAATCACAGCAGATATATTTTCATTTTGGAATAGCACAGAGACAGTTAGAGCAAGTTTTCGAAATTTATCAATAAAGGATGTAGACATCCAATGCCCAGAGACTCAGGACAATTCCATTGACCATGCCAAAGGATCTCTGGAAACTGAAACCATTTTTAGAATTTTCTGCTGAAAAAGGATATTCAAAGAAGATATGATTCTCCGATTCCTCTACACCACTGCACAACACACATTCAAATTTACCACTTAATCTTCCCCACATGACTATCCTCTTTAACAGTCCTCAATGTTCATTTATTCTTGTTTTAATTTCATCCGTTTAAACTGACATAATTCCATTTATTCTTGTTTTAGTTTCATCAATTTAAACTGATCTAATTTGCCAAGGATATGTGGAATGCCTAAGTGGCCCGTCTTTTCTGATATTTAATGTGTCAATCCTCTACCCGTTCCTATTGTTTCTCCCACTCTTTTCATTCTCTTCTTTGGTTATGTTACATCCACAAACGCAAAGAAGGGTGAGGGGATAGTGGGTGGAAACGTAACAGTTGAGGAGCGCAGGAAATAGAAGGGGGGGGGGGGGAAGTTGTGCAGATGGGTAGAAAGGGTCGGGGAATTGTGGGAAGAAGCAGACCTAGGTGTTAGAAGGTTATTTAAGAAGATTGGGACATCTCAGAAGCACATCAGGAATTAAGCACATGAAGGTTTATGGTGGAGAAAGAGTTGGAGAGATGTGAAGGAGAATGGGTGCAGAAGGGCAAGAAGCAGTTGGGTTTGGGGGTTGCAAGATTGGTTCAATTGTTTTAATTCATTATTGGAATTGGATCCTCTGTTATACTGAATATTACAATATTTATAAAAAAGTATAGCAATTTTTTTTTTTCCTAGATGAGTGTATACACCTTGAACTTTTGGTTGCACACTATTTTGTGTTCATATTAACTCTTTCCTATACTTTTGTTATCCTTTCTAGCAATAGATACAAAATAACAGACGCATTCCTTCTTTCTGATGCAAGATGTAACGTTTCTAACAAACTGTATTGTTGTTTTGGTAGTTCCTAGGGAACCAGAAAGGAACAACAAAATTCCTCCCGCTGTTATTGCCGGGATAGTTGGAGCTGCCCTGGTTTTTGGCATATTAATCTTGGCTCTATCCTGGGCATTAGTCAGGATTCGTCATAGAAAGCTCAAAGGTATACTCAGTTTGATGCATTGATATCCACAATGCTTCAAAAATTTTTCTTCCTTGTTATTACTCATATGTTGTTTTATTTATGAAAGGCTCGGAGCTACATCCCGGAGTGGTCTTCGACTACAAAAAATTAAAGGCTGCCACCAATGGTTTTGCTCCTGATAACAAGATAGATGGAGTCGGAAATGTCTACAAGGCATGTTTTATGTTTACACTAAACTCACTTGCGCATTTGAATTCTGTTAACTTTATGATTGATAGATTACTTGTATTACATAGGTAATCCCTACCCTCACGGCTTATGCTGAAAAGCGAATTTAGAACTTTTTTCAGCCTGCTCAGTTTCACTAATATCAGCATTGTTCTTGTTCTAAATGATCGATTTTAAGAACTTGACTGAATCAGGGTGAACTCGATGGGATTCAAATAGCAGTCAAGGAGCTTTCAGCGAAGTCAGAAGAAGGGGCCCACGAATTTGTAACCGCAATTGGTACAATTTCTGCACTAAAACATCCAAATCTTGCAACGCTAATGGGATCCTGTACCGAGCAAAACCAACTCCTACTTGTCTACAAGTACATGGAAAAAGTCTCCCTTCAACATGCTTTATTTGGTAAAACATGAGACTTTTTGTCCGGCAATTCCATTAGAATATTAAGCCAAATAAATTGCATTATGTGATTTTGTTAAAATGGGCTTATTGCAGGTCCAGCAGAAGCCAAATTAGAACTAAACTGGGAAACAAGGGCTAAGATTTGCCTTGGGGTGGCAAAAGGTTTGGCTTGTCTTCATGAGTCCAAACTACAAGTAATACACTGCAATATCAAACCAACAAACATACTTCTTGACAACGAGTTTACCGTGAAGATATCCGACTTCGGATACTCCCAATTTCATGATTCTCAGCTTGTCGGTGCCCCGCTTGATAAAGACAAAACTGCCCTTGGTAGTCATGATTCTCAGCATGTTGATGCCCCGCTTGTTAAAGACAAAACTCCCCTTGGTAGTTTGCCAAAACCAAAAATAACGTAATGAATCACATTTCTTTCAATTTAGTTTATCTTGTTGTAGACATTATATTTTCTCATCACAGAGCATTGTTTGCAGGGGACATATGGCACCTGAGCAGATACAAGGCATCCCCTTAACACCTAAAGCAGATGTTTATAGCTTTGGAATCGTCACACTTGAAATTGTTAGCGGACAGGAAATTATCACATTGAGGTCAAAGGATTCAAATGACTACCTTCTGAATACGGTGAGATAACAGAAATGTAACACAAGAGAGGAAGAGGATAAGTTTTTTTTTTTTTTGGGGGTAGATTGTTAAAACAGGCTGTTCTTTACAAGTGCAGGCTTATAAACACCAGGAGGAGGGGAATCTTATAGCTTTAGTTGATCCAGATCTGAAATCAAACTATAAACCCAATGAAGCACTTACAATGCTATGTTTAGCAATGAAATGTGTGAACCAAAGCTTCGATCTCAGGCCTACCATGTCATCTGTGGTTAAAATTCTTGAAGGCAATGAGAAATTTGATATCAGCTCTGCCTCAAAACCTCGGTCTACTCATTCTGGGAGTACTTCTCATGGGGAAACTTCAAATACAACTATTGCTCCATCTACCGGCAATGAAATTGATGATTCTCAACGTCACTGATTAATGTTTTGGGATCAGAAACCATTGAGATGGAATATGGTATTGTTCTTTCACTTTTTTGTGGATGCTTACAGATGCCCTTTCTGTGTGTGAATATGTATTCTGCAAAAACATATTTTTGGCTTATGTATGGTGTATCAACTGCTATTTCAAATTTCAATGAGTTCCAGATTTCAAGAAAACATAATATCTTTTTCCATGACATGCTTGCTTTGGAAAGTGCAATTGCAAAATATAATGGATTTAGCGTTTCCTTTTTGCTTAATTGTAGTCAACAAGATGAAAAAGGAGAACAGTTAAACTTTTGCATGATATGAAATCAAATGTAGTATTTTGGTTAAAAAAAAAAAATGCATGATGTGAATCTGATTTTTAGATGCATAGGAACTAGGGAAGGTACGATTGTTAACAGCACGATGAGGTGCTCTTGGTTCTCTTACAGGCTTAACATATATGGGTAAGTAAGAAACAGGCATAACATATAATTACACCATATTGTTGCATTTCTGAGTACATGAAACATTTTGATCATGTAAATTAACTCTTGTAATAGAACAAGCATAATACGTTGTTATACACCAAATCCGAAATGAGCAGATACTACCGGACCAACTTGCAGTTGCACCTGTGCAAGTCCACAGTTGACAATAGCAGAAGTTTTCAATCATGTAAAAATGCTTTTGTTTTATGATAGTGTCTGACCCAACAGATCCAATTGTTTATTTAGTGATAATTTGTAGATGAACAATACCCAATTGTGAGTCGCAATCCTTCCTTCAATGGATCACTTTTGCTCAGAGTTTGCTCGCAGTCAAATGCATTCTATTCCTGACTGCAAATTCCTGACCTTGACTTAGGCGTAGTTGTTGCGTCGACTAATACTTTAAAATGGAGATTGATCAGAGAGATGTTTTATCAACTAGAAAGAAAATGGGATCACTCAAATTTCAGTATCCAGTCTTCTGTTAAACCAATTCAAGTGCTCACTGTCAACAAATTTTTGCAGTATTTACTCGTATTCGTCGGGTCCTCTATTACAGCAAAATCTGTGTCACTATTGCTTGTTTCAGACGTATTTTTTATTTTATTGAACCATGATTTAGATTTCCTCTCCATACAGCAAAGCAACACATGCAAAAATATTTTTGGTCTCTGTAAACAAGTGATTCTTGTAAGTCAAATTAAAAAATGTGTACTTTTCCCACCCCACGTTTAGGTAAGCACAACGAAGCACTTACCGTGCTACATTTAGCAATGCAATGTGTGAGCTCAAGCTTTGATCTCAGGCCTACCACGTTTCTTGAAGGCCGGTAATTTCTGAGCCCGTAGCTACGTTCTCTAATGAGGACGGTTCAAATTCAACTATTTCTCCATCTGCCAGCAAAGAAATTGATGATGCTACCACCTCCACTAACTACTATTCTGGGATTAATTAAATCCATTGAGATTGGATATTTTATTTACAAATGCACCTTTTTATATATGTGAATATGTAATTGCAAGATGGAAGTGACATTATTTTGCTCAGATAGCAGATTAATAAGGCCTTGATTGGAAGATGATCGCGGTATCTGGAGTTTGCTGCATCGAGATCATCAATATGAGTAAGTTTTGAGTACTTGAGCGTGTGATCAAGTTGCCTTTCACAACTTTGAATTACCACTGTGCTAAATCAAATAAACCGTGATTAATTTACGCATGTTAAGAGTGAAAATATAGGGTTTCTTTCTGTAAATTGGCTCAAATCCAGTGGCTGTAAATGATATGGGCTGCGCCGTGCGAATTTCGTAGATAAACAAGGCTGAGCATAGCCAGTGCCAAGTTCACAAGGATATGGCTCAATCAATTTGGAAGCCTCTGCCGCTCCTCCATTGCTGCTGTAATCACTTTTATTCCTCTCATCCTTCTTGTTCTCTGGGCTCCCTCCTTCAGCTCTCCTGCTTTCCCCAAATTTTCTCCAATTATTATATTGTTATGTGTGAGAATTAAAGTTAACTATATATTTTTGTATACATATTGGTTTAAAAAAATCACAATTAATAAGAAGACAAAAGGTTATAAATAGTTAATGAGAAGACAAATGGTTAAATTGATGATTAAATTCACTATTTCATGTCATATTGATTAAGAAAACTCCAAAAAAAAATTTATCGATTATTATAAAAAATATAACAAAAAAGGTTTGCAACTACTAAAATTGATAAAAAATGATGAGAATTTGCTCAGGTTTTATTGGATGCACTAGTTTGACACATTATAGAAATTTTCATCTTCTTAATGTCACAATACAAGTAAGATACGGAACAATAATCTTCCATTTTCAGAGTCTTGTGATTGTAGAATGCAGCAAGATTAAACTTTTAATCGCTTTGTATATAATAAATGTTTCGTACAACTAGCAATTATCTAATTTTACTTATTGTATGGTTCCTTAATCAATATTATACCAACAACTTAGCTTAAATATGATAATCTTCTATCTTCAGAGTTTTACTAAATGCACAATAAATTTTTAATTGCTTTGTATACAATAAACGTTTGTACAACTACCAAATTGCTTAATTTTTTTATTATGCCAATAATCAAAGTTTTACATAGAAATTTAGCATATTAAAGGTTTTAGATCTTGGAAAAATATATTCACATGCAACGCACGTGAGTTATTACCAGTACTTTTAAATGAGCATCCAACAACAACTTTTGTTCTTCTTTTCCTTTCCTTTTTTTAAAAAATAAAAAATAAAAATTTCTCTTCTAAGAAGGCCAAATGTTCTTTTCTTCAAGTAGAAAAGCAGGACATGTTAAATCTCAGTAAGGAGATAAACTGATTCGCAAAAAGAATTCAGAGCAAGATTTTTGCAGCCTAATAAAGTAGGACCTCTGCAGAGAAATGCTGCCTCCAAAATCTTACGGATTTGAATCACACTTTCCTGAACTTTATAATTGAGAAGCAAGGTTTACAGTAACGATATCCTCAGAAGACGTTGACGGTGCATTACTTTCTCTTGCATCAAATGAAATTAAGTTGATTTACTACTTGTCTATCTATCTATCAGTACTGGAAGTCATGGCGCTACTTTCTTTTGTGTCAGATGAAGTGGAAAATGACTGTGGTTCAATTGAACTGAATTGCAACTCATCATACTTGTCTCGCAGTCCTTGAAGATTTAATCCATCATTATAGACACTTGGATCTGAGCTGAACTCCTGAGTACTGATACGACCTTCAAGCATGCCAAGCGCCGCAGACATGGTAGGCCTAAGTGCAGGAGATGGATTAGTGCAGAGAAGAGCCACTTTGATCATTCTTATAGCCTCTCCCTCGTTAATATTGGAACCTAACCGCGGATCCACTAGCTCCACCAAACTTCCTCTTTGCTGCAGAACAAGGGCCTGGCACGACCAGAGGATACAGATTGTGAGAATACGGCTATATAAACTAGAGCAAGAAAGAAAGAGATTGATCATTTCAATCTTAATAACAGCTTTCTGAATACTGGATTTCCTAAAAAACTAATAATTTTCATAACTAAGACGAGCGTTGGGGGGCCAAAGATGCGTATGGTTTAACCATCCCTGCCTGATACCCCCGTCACTTCATTAAAGGCGAACAATTGTAGAAGGCTTACAATAAGCATGGTTCACTACCCCAACTGAATGGAAAGAATATAGACCCCCTCAGCTCATCCACCTTATTGGTATTTTCTGGTTTTTTCAGAAGGAAGAATTGGTTTCTTACCCAATCAAGAAGACAAACATAATCCTCGCTTGGGCGGTATGACATGTTGCTCTTTCCAGCAACAATTTCCAATGCAACTATCCCAAAGCTGTACACGTCTGCTTTGTATGTTAAGTAGCCCCATAGTGCATATTCAGGTGCCATATACCCTCTGTAGAATGAAATATTCCCCTTAATTATCTCTGAAGCTTGTATATTTTCTGAGCATAAAATCAAGCAACTAAAGTTCTATATTTTCAGTTACATTAAACATGGTAGCCTACAATATTAACTGTGAATCACTATAAAGAAAAAGTGAGGCAGCATGAGGTGCAAACAGAAAATTTACGAAATATGCAAACTTTAGTCCTACGTATCAACTCCTAATCAGGGACATTGTTTTGCCAAGTCTCATTGACACTTGACAAGCTTCTTTCCCAGAATAAATTTGAAAGGTGCATACCGCAATTGAAGCTCAAAAACTTGTTTTTTAAATCGTTCATCAGATGTTCATATGAAGAACAAAATATTGAGAATTCATGGACATGAAATTGTGAAGTAAAATTAATCATGTCAATTTCTAATAATTGGTGGATTCTTTTTCACATTTCTAATTGTTTCCACTTTCTGCAATAAGTTGATTTCCGAGCAAGTGACGGTGACTTGCAGAAGAATCACAAATTGACCTAGTTTCAGGTCCAATCACATGATACTACACCATCCAACAATAAGCAACAGTATTTGCAGATTAAGGAAGAAAATTGGAACTCACATCGTTCCTGCGACTCTGGTGCTAATGTGTGTGTTCTCCTCCTCAACAAGTTTGGCTAAACCAAAGTCAGAAATTTTTGGATTGAGTTCTTCATCAAGGAGAATATTGTTGGTTTTGATGTCTCGATGAACAATTTTTAGAGCTGACTCGTCATGTAGGAAAGATAAACCTTTGGCTATTCCAATACATATTTTTTGCCTGGTTGACCAGTCCAATTCGAGCTGCAAGTCCTGTGGACCTGTAACATTCGGGGAAATAACAAATGACATGCTTGCATAGACATCTTAAATCTCAACTGCTACATTTGTTCTTCTATATTCACAAAGAATGAAATACTTCAGTTCATAAAGTTAGTTTCTTCTGAATCTTCACTTGGATGTTTTGCTCAATATTGTAAAAGAAATCAACCTACCAAACACAGCTCGTGCAAGGTTATTGTTTTCCAAGTACTCATAAACCAATAATAGTTGGTCTCCTTCAATGCAACATCCATACAATCTGACAACATTCGGATGAAGTAGACCAGAGATCATTCCTATTTCATTCACAAATTCACGGTTCCCTTGCTTTGATTTTGGAGAAAGTTGCTTAACAGCAATTACAGTACCATCCAATAGCATACCCTGCAGTGCCAAATAAATTTAGGAGCACAAGTAGATTATTAATATCTAAATATTGAACTTTCATGTTTTAATTTTTATGACAACTT